GGGAACACAAGCAGGGGGAGTGGGAGAGAGAGAAGCAGGCTTCCCGCGGAGCAGGGAGCCCGATGCGGGACTCGATCCCAGGACCCTGAGATCATGACCTGAGCCGAAGGCAGACGCTTAACGACTGAGCCACCCAGGCGCCCCAGGAGGAAGATTCTAGCCGGTGTCCGATTTAGCTGGGGCTGGGTCATCCCAGCTCAGAGGTCTTACGTGCCACGCTGGAGGGAGCCTGAGGCTCAAGAGCAGGGGTCTGGGTGCTGCCAAAAGTGGGATCTTGACCACATTGCTTAATATTTCTAGACCCCCTTCTGTTGAAAATGAAGAGAGTGGACAGGATTATTTCTAAGATCCTTTCCAGCTCTCATTATGTATGAACCTATAAGGAAGAGTTTTCTAACATAAAAATCTGTTCAAAAATGGAATCGGCTGCTTTAGAGAGTGAGAGGGGATGCTGCTGTAAGAGGGAAGTTAGGGGGACCCCCGCTGCTCTCTTATGATGCCCTTAATCGAAAGCAGCCTTTCTTTAATATAAAGTGAATTCCTCAGGAGCATTCTGCTCTAAACCGAACAAATCTAATAAGAGGTAGTTTACTCAACCTCTTTGTGCCCCATTCCCCATTTAGAAAACGGAAGAAGCCCTCAGGTGTATTTTATTTTTTTAAAAAAAGATTTTATTTATTTATGTGAAAGAGAGAAAGAAAGAGAGAGCACAAGCACAGGCAGGCAGAGGGGGAAGCAGACTCCCCGCTGAGCAGGGAGCCGGATGCGATGCGAGACTCGATCATGACCTGAGTCGAAGGCAGACGCTCAACCAACTGAGCCACCCAGGCGCGCCCGTAACAGAGAATTTATAATTTTAACCATTCGTAGGTATAGAGTGTGGTGGGACCGAGTATCACAATGCTATATAACCATCCCCACAGTCCACACACACAACTTTTTCATTGTTCTCAAGAAAAACTCTATTCTACTTTCGGTTTGTATTTATTAGTTTTAATTAACTTTTTATTGTGATAACATTTAGATCACATAAAAATGACCATTTGAACCATCTGTACGTGTACAGTTCGGTGGCACGAAGCACATCCACGTTGCGCCTCCATCGCATCCCTCTCCGGAGCACGGTTCGTCTTCCCAAATGGTAACTCTCTGCCCATTAAACACTAACCCCCCACTCTTCTTCCAGCCCGTGCTGCCCTCTAATCTGCCTTCTGTCTCTATGAATTTGCCTACTCTAGGCCCCTCATATAAGAGGAATCCCACCGTATTCGTCCTTTTGCACCTGCCTTAATCACTTAGTGTAATGTCTCCAGGTCCAGCCCTGTGTGGTCTGCATCAGAGCTTCTTCCTTTCTAAAGCAGAATAATACTCCACTGATGGCTATTTTGTTTTATGCGTTCATCCATTGTCGGCCACTGGTGTTGCTTCTACCTTTCGGCTGTTGTGCATAATGCGGCTACCAGTCTTTGAGACCCCGCCCTCCATTCTATGCCCAGAAGAGGGGTTGCAGGATCATATGGTAGTTCTCTGTTTAATTTTTTGAGGAAACACCGTGCTGTTTGGGTCACGCCCCAGCCTTTGCGAGAGCCCAGGGGCTACATCCAGAGAAGATGAGGGAGACCCATGGAAGGGGGAGGGAAGGAGCCCGGGCTGAGGGCCAGGCAGGCCTCTGGCACCATCCATCTGGTCATGGCCAGGCTGTGGGACTCCACGTCAGTGGCATCCCGCGCTGAACCTCTGCTTCCTTTCCATTCATTTATGAAACACGTTTTTACTGAACACCTAGAAAGCTCCAGCCACCCTTCTAAGCACAAGGATATACGGATGACAAAACAGATGTGCGCCGTGTTCGCGTTCCACATCTGTCTAAAACGTGGACAGTGATCCCAGCCACATAGGAGAGGGCTGGCTCGGGGTCTGACTCATCAGAGGCACTTAATAAAGGGTTCTTTCCGTCCCTCCAACTCGGCAGCTGGATGATCAAGGATACTGTATGTTCTCATATAAATAACCTCCTGTGGAGGTATTCGTATAAATAACTCTTCTAATGCTCATTTTTAAAATTCACAGAGGGCCACTGTGAAAATAACGGCGAACCCAGGGGTGGGTGGTGTGGACGGAGAGCAGTGTGTGCAAAGGGGAGGCCGAGGTGGGGGTGAGCTGGCGGCCGCTGGGGTGGGAGGCCTCGGAGGCACTGTGGGGAGCTGGCCCGGCCCAGGTTTGCCCTGGTAACGAAAGTTACCCACAGTCAACAGTGACTGACGCAAACCTGGAAACAAACACGTATAGCAAACCTCAAAAGGCATCCCAGGAAAAGCTGGGGAGAAGCAGGGGACACAAATGATGGAGTTTCTCCACCAACCTGGCCCCGCCGCCAGCAGCTGGGATCGTGTGTGTCCTGGAGACGCAGGACACATTCCTTCCCACGCTTGCTGGGAACGGAGCAGAACTTGAACCCGTCCGCGGCCCACACCTGCATAGTGACCTCCGGACCATAGTGACCTGCAGACCAGCGCGCTTTCCAGCCCCTGTGGTCTCCTGATCCGGTGGCTACATATGGAGGAAGAGAAGAAGACTTGTTTTGTTTTTTATTTTTGTGGTGGGATCTTTTTAGGCAAAGGGAGAAAATAGAAGAGAAAGAAAGAACAGCCGCTGGGAAAGGCTGGGCAGGTTTGGGGATGAGAAGCTGTCCCCCTGGGGCGGCTTAGTGGCAGGTGTGGGCGAGGAGGTGGAGGGACGGCAGGCCCGGGTCTTCTTGGATCCTGGGCATCTCCTGGCTGTCAAGGGCAAGTGTGACCAGCTACACAGCCTGCGTGAGCCACCTCCGGGCCCTCACTTCTCAGGCGAGGCTCGAAGCACACACCTCTCCGCTCTTCCTCTCTCTCTCTCAGGAGGGAGAATTCAAAGAACTCCAGGAGGAAGTAATTACATTTAATAGAAGCCCTGGTTTGCAGACACAGATATCCAGGCAAGAATATTTAATCGCTATTTACAGAGACACCTACATACACACATATATAGGAAATTGTTCCAAGGGGATTAGTAAGTCCTGCCAGACCCGCCCCCACGCCCCAGATCTTTGAAGGTTGCAGAGATTCTGGGCAAAGGCCCTCGGTACTCCCAGGAGATTACATGGAGGAGATTTGGAAGAATGCTGTGGCCAGTCCCAAGCTGTGCTGATGATTTTTAAAAAAAAAAAAAATGCATTTTATTTTATTATCGTACTAACCTCTTACCCAATGTGGGCTCAAACTCATGACCCCATCAAGAGTCTTGTGCTCTATCAGCTGAGCCAGCCAGGCACCCAATGATCTTTAACACCTTACGATAAAACCAATACTTTGTTAAGACACGTGGGTCTCCTGAAGCCATACTGCCTGCGAAGTCTAACTGGTGGGAAAAAGACCAGCAGGGTCCCGTGTCCGTTAACCAAGGCTGCATCCCTTCCTCCTGGCCCCATTGTTGTCTGTGGGTCCTCACTGGCCCCCTCAGGTCCGGGAGCCTCCTGGGGCCAGCTCAGGGATGGAGGGCTTCTGTCATGTGTGGAATGGGATGGCTGCTATCCCAGGGGCTCTGCAGAGACGGGCTCTTGTCCTTGGCCAGCTTGTGTCAGAGAGTGGAGGTGGGACTCTTCAAGTTCAATGACACAACATCCCAAGCGACTCTAGTGGTGCTGAAATGTCCTCAGGAGATGAGACAGATGGAGAACAGGAGCCAGGCTGAGGGTTAGTGAAGAGCTTGAGTCTGGCAGAGCCATTTTGGGAAGACATCTTGGGGCCAAATTTGGGTTGGAGGTAAGAGTGGTTCCCTCTCCCCAGGAAAAGCTCCTCTGCTTGGCCCCCTCCACTCTGATCCTGTCCTGAATTACAGTGCTTACTGTTGATTCGTGTCTTTGTTCTGATTCCCTAACTGGATTTAGAACTCCTTGCAAGCCGCGATCTTATTCATCTTTCTGTGTCTTGTGGCCATGGTCCCTGCCCCCGGTAAAGAGGCAACTAATCTTTGGAGGAGGAAAGCTGCCTCAGGTTGGGTGGAGACGAGCCTGGTCGGGGAGCAGCTGGGGCGTTCCTCTCTTGCTCGTCTCTCAAATGCTACTCACCTAGCAACTTTGGCCTGTTCTGAGACTGGCTGGAGTACATGCTCCCCCTGCCTTGCCAGGAGTCCTTCAGGTATAAAGAGGCTCCATTTGTTAAGGGAATAGAATGAAGAAAGTTAGAAAACACGATTCAATACTTTGAAGGCTTTACCTGGGCTCCTGCCCCATCCTCCTGGCCCAGCCGGGGTGGGCGGCTGAATCCAAGCGCAGCTGCCCCCACTCCACCTTCCATAGGTTGGATGCCTTGGCTCCCTCCCACCCGCTGTCTTCCTCCACTTGATTCCTTCTGGATTAGCTCAGTGTAGCTTTACCCCAAAGACTCTGTCCGAGTTGGCAAGAGTCACACACTGGGCTGTTTGGCTTTTAATAAAGTTTATGATTTAAATCTTGTGCTCTTAACACCTTCTTTGCAAGCCTCAGAGGGAAATAGAAATGTTGAGTTTGTTTACTTATTCCCTTCATAACATGGAGACCCTCACACTTGGCCAAAGCCTGCGCGTGCGTGTGTGTGTGTGTGAGTGTGTGTGTATCACACAGAGTTCGGGTGTATGGTGTATATATGCACATACTCGCAGGGCCAGGAGGAACCTTTAGAAAGACTGGCTGCATTTCAGTCCCTGGCAAGCTCCCAAGACATCAACTGAGCCCTTCGGCATGAAGATTTTCCTGTGAAGAGCTCCTACCGGCCCTCACTGCACAGGGAAGCCCGCAAAGAGGTCAGCACAGGGGGAATAGAGAAGGCCCCAGTAAGCCCCTGCAACAGGATCCCGAGGCTCCAGGGTCAAACCCCAGCTGCTGCCCTCCCAGCTGTGTGCCCCCGAGCTGCAGTCGCGGGGACCCTGCTGCTCCGTGGCCTGGCCTGAAACGGAGGAGGCAGCAAGCCGGGACTCCCCATGACATCAAGTAGCTCTGGCGTGGGCTTGTTGTGACCCATCCTGCCCACGGGGGAAGCTGGGCTCCTGACAGGTGTTTGTGTGAATATTTCAGGGACTGATACGTTTCCAGTGACATGGGCTGACCCCGGGCCAGCTGTGGAAAAGAGAATCCCAGGATACAGAGCTCAAGGGAAGCCGACAAGGGAGCACATCTGCTGGAAGCACTTGGTAAGCCCTAGAGTGTGTGCTGGGGGCCTGCAGGGGACCCAGGAGGGAGGCAGCCACGCTTCCTGCCCTCAGGGGCCTTCCGGGCAGAGGGGACGGGGAGATGAGGGGGCCATGGGGCCCGGGTGGGAGGGGATGGAGGTCAAAGTATGCGCTCACGGGTGGGGTTGAGTGGGGACACCTCGGGTGACTTCTGCTGGTCCCAATGCACGCAGGAGAGCTCAGAGGTCCTGGAACCGGGCTTTGCTTGCACGCTGCGGCCTGGCCTCCACGACGTGACGTCCTGGCCAAAGAATCCAACGTCGGGCTCCAGTCTCCCTGGGTCTCTTTTGTCACAGTGACTAACAGGCAGGCCAGACAAAGCTTGCATTCAGGAGCCCATCCCTGCAGGAGGATAACACGGCCCCAGCTGATGAGGCAGGCACATTGGCATCTGGGGTTTTTTCCTCCTAAAGCAGAAGCAATATGATTGTTGGCATCGGATTCCCCTGGGGGAGGGCACCGCAGCCTCAGCCTGGACTGGGCTCCCAGAAGGCAGGCCCAGAGCTGTCCCGTGTGCTCTCCCAAGTTCATGCCCGGCAGCAGGGAGCCTGGGACTGGGGGGGGGGGGGCGGAGGGAAGAGGTGGGTGGCAATTCCCCTACATGAGACTCCCCATTCCCAGCCTCAGCTTTCCCATCTGTAAGATTTCAGACAGGGGGAAATAGCACTTACAGGCCGCGGTCAGAGTGGGATGAACTTTTAGGCAGGTGATGGTCCCCTTGGCGTCTTTAGGCAAAACAGTATGTGGATTTACTCACAGGCCACAGGGATAATTCTATCCTGCAGATGGTGGGTGCGACCCAGCAAGGGTTTCCCAGGCAAAGGATGGCTCACCCGAGCTGATTAATGCAACAAACAGCTGCTGGGGCCCCTCCGTGAGCCTTCCCATGCATTAGCTCACCTAACTGCACTGTACACCTGTGAAGGGGGCACTTTATTTATTTTTATTTTTTAAAGATTTGTTTATTTGAGGGGCACCTGGGTGGCTCAGTTGGGTGTCTGCCTTTGGCTCAGGTCATGATCCCAGGGTCCTGGGATCGAGCCCTGCATCGGGCTCCCTGCTCTGTGGGAAGCCTGCTTCTCCCTCTCCTACTCCCCCTGCTTGTGTTCCCTCTCTCGCTGTGTCTCTCTCTGTCAAATAAATAAAATATTTTTTTTAAAAAAGATTTTATTTGAGAGAGAGAGAGAGAGTGGGGGGAGGGTCAGAGGGAGAGGGAGAGAGAATCTCAAACAGACTCCCCACTGAACTTGGAGCCTAACACAGGGCCCGATCTCAGGACCCTGAGATCATGACCTGAGCGGAAACCAAGAGTCGGACGCTCAACCGACTGAGCCACCCAGACGCCCCTGGGCACTATTATTTCTATTTTAAAAATGAGAAAACTGAAGGTCAAAGGGGCCAAGTGAATTCTCCAAGCCCACACACCTAATAAGCAGTGAAGAGAAGAGGAGAACCTGGGTCTTCCTTCATCTTCTGGGCCAGGGCTCACACGCGCCAAGCCCTACGTTGCTTTTGTTCTCCGCGCAGTCGGCGGGATAAGCATCCCGTCCCCCACAGCCCTGCGGGCCCCACAGAGGCTGTGCAGGGCAAGCAGCCGGTGTGGCCGGGGGACAGCCGCCCGAGATGGCACGGCCCCTGCTGGGCGGGGGTCCTTTGAGCAGCTAGCGCCGCGGGGATAGCCAGCGAGGAGCCGACGGCTGCGGAGGGCTGACCGGCTTCTTGACTTTTCTTTTTCCCTGGAGTCAGATGACGCCTCAAAGCTGCGGGATCTTCCTGACATCATGCTCATGATAACGATCAAAGGAAAACTAGATACAAGAACCTCCAGTCACCCACTCCCCCTGGAGCCTGCCGCGCGCGTCCCCTCGGTTGACCACGTTCGGCCGCCGGGGGAGGGGCAGCCGTGGCTGCGGGCCTCGCACACCAGTGCTCGGGGCTGGGCTTAGTTCCAGCACGTTTCTGCCGCCCACGCGCGGCGAGAGTCCAGGAGGCCACCCCATCCGATGCGCGCGCCACTCCAAGTTAAGATTGCCAGCAGACTCCCCCCACAGCCTCATTTCCGACAATCCTTACGAATAAAATCATAATAAAAAAAAAAAATTCAAGCCCAAGACGAACCCAATAGGAACCACGTCTTGAGTGTGAACGCCGGCAGGGCCGGAGGCGGCGGCAACTCCGCAGACACTTGATGGACGTTTTTCCCCTCACACGCCCCGCCCTCCCTCGTAAGTGAAGGCGGGTGGAGTTCTTCACCCTCAGGAGCAAGGCTGGAGTGCTGGGGGGCGGGCAAGGGGGGGGCACTGAGCCCGGGAGAGACAAGGGAGACTGGAAGGATTGCTAACTCAGGGCGGGAAGGCCAGCTTGCTGTCGCCGCACAGCTGGAAGCAAGGGAGGGACCCGCGCCAGTCCCCCTGTGAGCGCCGCTTCCGGGGGACATCAATCTTCCCCGCTCGCCATGGCGACGGGGGGACGCGGAGGGCTGGTGGTGTTACCGACTCTTCCAACCTCATCCCCTTCTCACCGGGGGCCTGGGGGAGACAGCACTCACCACGCGGCACCGCCTGAACCTTGGCGAGGACAGGGCGCCCGGCCCCGGGCGGCGCCAGCCTCCTCGTGCCTCGGGCCTCCGGCCGCCGGAAAGCAGGGCACGTGGTTTCCGGCGAGCTTGGAACCGCCCCACCGCCTCCGGGCGGGCCTCGCTGCCTCCCGCCCTGCAGGGCAGCCGGGGAGTCCGCTCGGAGGCCCGGGCCGCAGTGAGCCTGCTGTCTGGCTTCAGGCTCTGGCGGTGCCGGGCCGGGCGGCAGGAACTGCGGAGAGAGACTGGCGCACAGACCGCCCGGCTTTGACCCGAGGCCCATCACTTCCCGGCCTCGTAGGGCTGGGCGACTTCCCCGCAGGGCTCCGGCCGCAGGCTGCTCCTCGCTACCCCCAACAGCCCCCACGGTCACTGGGCCTGGACACTTTCCAGAGTGGACACACCCAGGTGCTTTGCTTTTTCTTTTTTTTCTTGGTGGGCCTTTTGTGGTGGCTGTAGTTCCGTCACTGGTGGTGTGGCTAAGGATCCCCCAAACTGGCCTTCCTTTCCAGAGCACTAGCGATCTCTCACAGTATGGGCCCATCCAGCCTCCTTTGAAGCTATGTTTGTGGCCACCATGTCTTCTTCTCTATGGTCTTTTTTTTTTTTTTTAAGATTTTATTTTTTTATTTGAGAGAAAGAGGCACGAGCCGGGAGAGGGGAGGAGTGGGGACAGGCAGAGGGAGACGCAGACTCCCTGATGAGCAGGGAGCCTGATGAGGGACTCGATCCCAGGACCCCCGGGATCACGATGGCAGCCAAATTCTCCTCCATGGTCTTAAGCCAAGCAGTATTTGATCTTGACATTAGACAGCTTGCTATCCCCAAATACCCTGTGTCCCTTCCCACTTCCCTATTTTTGCTCGGGCCCTCTTTTCTGCCTCCCTCATCCTTGAACTCCTCTGCTGGCCAAATTCAGTTTACCTTTCAAGGTCAAACTTGAAGGTCTGTGAAGAGCATTGCCTGCTCTTCTGTGCTCCCACATTTTATTGGGATTCCTTTCCTCCCCTTGGACCGAGCTCCCCAAGAGAAGTGGCCACAGTAGTGGGTTGAAGAGCACAGGCCCGGAGCTGGAGCAGGGTTGAACCTCTAGCCCCACCAGGTCCGAGCTGCAGGACCTAGGGAAGGTGGTCCCACTGCCCCGTGCCTCATCTGTACAACGGGGATAGCAGCACCCGCCTCACAGGATGGCTGCGGAGATGAAAGGAGAGAAAACAGGTGAAGTGCGGAGAGCTGAAGCTGGCTCCTGGGAGACATGCCCCAGGCTCTTATTGGCATGACTGGTGCCCAGAACACAGCAGAACATGAATACTGAACTGAGGGCTCTGGCATCAATCTGTGAAGGCGGATTACTTGGATCCTGGGGGAAAAGGTCCACGTGTGGTTACTGGGAAGCACAACTGAAGGACATGAGTATTTAACTCGGGGAAATTTCAAACATACACGGTAATAGAATGGGATAACGAACCCCGGGCATCCGATCCCCGGCTCCGGCAGTTACTGACCCATGGCCAATCTTTCTGTATGGATGACCCGCTCCTCGCCACCTCCCCAACACACATGCTAGATTAGCTTAAAGCAAACTGCAGACGTGAAAAAAGCAATTTTGTGCTTTACACTCTTAAAGGAGCTTTCAAAAAGGAAACACATAATATATATTATTCCTCATGGCTTATGGCTTTGTGACCTAGATGAAGGCGGCCTTATTTTCAAGGGGAAGGTTGAAGAGAGGCTGGGAGGTCAGGGGGCAACCAAAGGCTCTGGGCTGGGAGTCCAGGGCTCTTTCTAGGACATCTGGGAAAGCTCGTGGATCTCAAACACTCCCTCACCCCAGACTCTTTTTTTTTGAGAGTGCGCGCAAAAGAGACGGCAGGGGGTTGGGAGGGGCAGAGGGAGAGGGAGAGAGAGAATCTTGAGTAGGCTCCACATCCAGCATGAAGCCTGACGTGGGGGCTCGATCTCAACCACCCTGAGATCACGACCTGAGCAATCCAGAGTTGGGCGCTTAACCGACTGAGCCACCTAGCGCCCCAAGACTGACTAGTTCTTAATCATCTTTGAGCCAGCTTGAGATAGTCCACCTCAAAAAATCAAATAATAGCAGTCTTTTTCTAATTCAGAGAAAAAACCAAGTTAATGGATGGAATTCTCAATTGCTGCAAGTTCTCTCATATTTTCCTTGAACCTTGTGGTCTCTGCGTCCATTTGTCTGCAATGGAGTGCTGGTAGACCACAGAGTGAATAAACAAATAGTGAAATAAGATTAATGGAAAACCCTGGAAACAGCTGACCAGTGTAATCTGACAGCTTTCTGTGGACACATCTGCTTGTGGTTGTGATCTTGTATTTTGCAGTATGATACATGTTCTGCAAGTGAAATCGCTCCTGCTTCATGATGATATGATGAGCAACATCAGGTTCCCAGTCCTGTAAATAGCGCAGTCTCCCAGGTGTTCCTCCACCTGGTGGGACTTCTCAGCAGCTGTTCCAGCTGGAGGCAGGCAGGGCCAGAGCCCAGGTGCAGGGAAAACCTGCCAGGAGGGGTGATGTCTGACTCTCCCGTCCAATTCCCAAGTGCCAGTGCACAGCGGGCAGGAATTTCCACAGGAGCGGGGCGGAGCGCAGCAAGCGGGGTGATCCCCTCTGGGGGTAGATGGAGAAATGGAGCTAAGCAGAAAACTAATTCTCATACAAAAAGTACCCCCCCCCCCCCGAATAATTTCTTACTGAGCAGAAGGCCAAAGACAAATACCAAAACTGGGGAATATTCAAGCACAGGTTCTTTGGTTCCTTTATTCTTGGTATTTGCACTTTCTGTTGGCTGCTGCAGCTCCCACATCCCTGAGCTAATACATCGGATACACCGCGAAGAAGCCTGAGTCCCAGTCCTAAGTGAAACCCCCCTCTGCCCCGCCCTGGCTGCTCCCCAACCTGAGCACGAGCTCCAGAAACGCAGTTCAATGCGAAATGGGGAAACTGGCTGAGGGCCTAGCGCCTAAGGAAGGAGAAAGGGAGGTGGACACTGACTTTGAAAAGCAATTAAGGGGGCTGGCCGACTCCTCTCTCCGAGGACATCACCCCACCAGGCCCCTCACGGCTGAGCCCAGCCTTGGCTCCCCCGTCCCTGCCTTAACCCCAGGACATGGCGGGTTCCTGGCTCACCTACCATGGCGTTAATCTCTTGGAGGCCGCTGGCTTCTCCCTGCTTTTCTGGCATTGGAAGACTCATCTCACTTGGCTTATCAGACTGGTTGAGACTCAAAGAAAGACACAGCACACAATTTTTAAATAACTTTATAATTTCCTGATGGATTTAGTTTGTGAATAAAAAAGAAAAAAATGGACAAAGTGTTTACAATAATTATCAAGGCAAAGTTGACTCTAACACAATTTCTTTGTAATGTCATTATCCTGTCGGTACCACGACTCCGGCCGTCACACACACACACATGCACGCACGCACGCACGCACGCGGTTGAAGGCAGCGGGTGCATTTGCATCACAGACACCATCATAGCGGCTGCTACTGTCAGCACAAGGAACTCAAGCTAGAAGGAGTCGGTGCCCAGGGCCCCTCAGCTCCTCTCACTAGAGCGCAGCACTTGTCTTCCGGGGCAGAGGGGAGCAGATCCCGGGGAGACGTCGGGTCTCCACCCTGGACAGCCCGGGGCGCTCGGCAGGGTCCCCGGCCAGTGGGCTAGACCTGCGTGGGCAGCCCGGCCAGAACGGGAAGGGGGTGGCCCTCGGGTAGGTCTGGCTGCATCAGGGCATGAATGCAATACTGGTGTGGCGTGCAAGCAAGGGCTGGGCCCGGAGTGCTTGCGCTGGCCCAGGGGGGAATTCTCTGGCTTCGGCAGGGATCCCGTCCTTTCCTGACCATGGCATCTCTGGGGCCGAGAGAGACAGCCTGGGCCTGGGAGATGTAGGCTCTAAAAAGCTTAAAGGGAAAGAACCTGGGGCCTGAAGCCAGAAGGAACTGAGATCTGAGTACAGTTCATTGGCCTGGATTGCGGGCTCCAGGCTGGCCCGCGCTTGGCCGTGCTGGATGGGTCACTGGATGATATAGCACCAAGTGGGCAGGAGAGAGGGTCTGCAGCCCGCACAGGGCTGCCGCCGGCTGTGGGGCTTCAGAGCCAAGCCCGGGTTACCACACAGTATTAGGCACGCTGAGCTGGGACCAAGGTGGGTTTGAGGGTGGTTATGGGGTCACAAACTTTGAAACCTCTACCCAGAGGTCCTGAGGATGTAGAGGAGATCTCTGGCACAGGTGGGGACCCTCTGAGCCCCAGATTCCAATTCCTTTGACTCAGCAGTTGTCTCTTTCACTACCTGGAGGGTGGCCACTGGTGCTTCCCAAGGGACTAGCCCAGCTGCCACCTCGGCCAACTTGGGGGAGGTGGGGGAGGAGTTCGGCTGCCCCGTAGCTTGAATTCCTTTATTAACATGATATCGTTTTGCATTTCTTAAAACGCAGCTCGTTAACTTTTCAGTTCTACAAACTACTTTTTAATATCTTAATAATCTCAACAATGGCCACAATGTAACTGCCCCAATGCTCTGAACCACACAGACAATATCGACAAGCAGAGAAACAAAAGAGGATGTGGGATGGGACAAAAACCCGCTCCCCCCAAATCAATCCCTAAAACCACCTTTCCCCCAAGAGTCAGGAGGAGAAATACTTACAAGAGGGTCACAGCACTCGCCAAACACATTGGAAAAAATCAGGAGACACTTGGTTACAGTTTTGACACTAAAAAGTTTGGAAACAGTTTTTGCTTAAAAAGAGTAAGTAAAGACAGCCATTTTGTTCAGAAGGATGTCCCTGTACTGTGTGTGTGTTTTTTTCTTGCCCAAACATTCCTTTAGTCCACGTGGGGAAAACTCCAGATTCTTTTTAAAGCATTTCTTTGACCAGTTCAAGTCGCTGTCCTGAGAGGCCCAGGGACTGGCAGTGATGGACAGGTTGGCCTTGCAGGCTTGGCAAAGGGCAGCAGGCTCTGCTGCGTCTACTCTGTCCTCGTCTGCTTTTCCATAGCTCTGAACTCTTGTGGGTGGCA